CACGTCCAGCTATTCGGCGGCAATTCGGCGGACGGTCCCTCTATCCCGCTCGGAATGAAGGACCTCCCACTGAATTGGTGCCACAGATTGCGATCGCGGCTTTTTCTTTTTCTTTTTCTTTTCTTTTTTTTGGCTGCTTGGGGCGGCCAAAACCCTGGAGCCGTCCCTGGCTACTTCCGTTACATAAGTTACATAACTGAAGTTGATGTAAGTTAGGTCGACTTACAGCGGTGTCTACACTGCACTATGTTGACAGGAGACACTCTCCCTTCAACATAGCTTCTGCCTCTTGGAGAGGTGGAGTACAGACGTCAATGGGAGAGCTCTCTCCCATCGACTTAGTGTGTTATAAAGATCCACTAAATTGAAACCACAGTGCCGGTTTAGCCAATAGTGAAGACATGGCCTTAGACTTGATAACAGTAATATATTTTTTATTGGAGAGATAGTGTAAGATTGCAATTATCCTTCACTATTCAGTTTGATGTTGTAAATGCCTGGAGTTTGTAGATGATGTGATAAATACACAAGTTGTTGGGCTACATGTAGGCATTACTGAGTGAAATCGGTGACCTGTGTTATGTAGGAGGAGGGAAGACTACATTATTATAATGGTCCCTTATGCCCCTAAAATATATGATTCTATATTGTTGTCACCTAGTATTTGAGTAGGACTTTATGCGCAGCTTTGAGCAAGGGATTGTGCCTAAGCACCATTACCCTAGAAGTTGCCCTGGCAGGCTTTGTACCTCAGAGGCAATCCTCTGCAGCACAATTCCTTCCCCGTTGTCCCTTGCTCTGTGGCAGGGGTTAAGTTGTCATTGGTGTACAGTAGCACTAATTTATAGCCCATCTGTACTGACTGAGCTGACCAGTAAGGAACATAGCCAAGACTCCACCCATCCCCTGCCCCTCCCCACCTGCTCTCCATCCACCTGCTCTAGACAGGGAATTAACAAGAACATGGACCTCCTTATTTATGTATTCCCCAAGACAGAGGTGTCAGAGTGTTCTCATTCCTTCTTACTTCCATGGGTGCATAGTCCAAGCCACTTTCACTTCAGACATGCTACTTCTGAGAACAATGTCACAAAGGTTGGGCAGGCAAATGAACCTTGCCTAATTGCAGACCTATGAATAAATATTTAAACAATATCCATTATGCCATAGGATTAATTTTTTACACAAGTTCAAGGCTGGTGTTAATAGACATTGGGGTGCACTATGATATTTTGTTTGTGTTAAAAGCTGATGGAACATTTTGGATGGATGAGTACATTCCTATCCAGTCATGTAACCAGAAGATTATATATTCTGTGGGAAAGAGGCCCTTCACATTTTATGTATATTTAATCCTAATGTCAGCCATTTGCAGACTCTGCCTCACCATAAATAATTGTTTCCATAGGGTCGAGACCCTGCAAGTTCAACTGGGTGCCAGTGTTCCAGCTGAATGGCATCTGTGCTTACATCCTGCTTCAGGGGAAATTGCAAACAATCCCACTGCTTCATAAACAAAATCTCAATATTTATGCTGAAATAGTTTTTGATCAAGAGCCAGTTGCACTGAAGATGCCTCAATTCTCTCATGTTTTTCTTTCAGCAATACAAATCAAAGTGTTGGGTCTAATAATACTTTTTTTGTTCCTATGTACCCCATAAAACTGTTTATATCTTTGAAATTGTTTCTCCTGTATAACCCTAATCAGCCACAATGGGATACCTGACTATTTCAGTACAAAGCAAGAAGATGGTGGTATTTAATCACCTTACACACAAACACCCTCCATTATGATGCTCTCAGGCAACTTCATGGATTCTGGTTTGTCCGATATTCCACAATTTTTTATGTTGTGTTCAGTTTGCATATAAACTGCAACCACAAATTCACAAATGATTTGCTTTCATGGGAATGCACAGTTCTATGTTCTCATGAGTACAAACTCCTTTGTCTGTAGTTGCCGTTCATTGCAAACATGGAAGCACTGATATGAGTTCACAAACGTTTCTTCCACTCAGATGTGGGTCAGTTCTGTGGAGCTACATTCTAGCCTCTGCATCTGAAACATAACAGACCGCATCACTTGTTTATCTTGGATAGCACATGTAAATTAAAGATATATTTTGAGACTACATCTCCCTGAGGTTTGCAGGTGGAGCTGCATGGCAGAAAGATGGCTAAAGCACAGGAAGTTAATTGGCCCCTATTGATGGTCCCCTGAATCCAGCTATGAGTTAATAATGTTTCACTGTGTTCTTTTGAACATGGGACAACCCTGTTGTTGCTGCTGTTGCTCTGATTGCTTCTAAATCTGACCATATTTATACTGGGGGAATGTCTGTTAATGAAACCCGCATTAAACGAGATGAGGCCAATATACAAAATAAAGCAATACCCAGGCAATAACTGAGGGAATTCATTAAGTATTAATCGCAGCAAACACTTAAGCCCATGATTAAGCCCCTTTAAACAAATTAAACCCATGCTTAAGTGCTGATTAGGGATAGGCATGCATTTGATTCTGGACTAATGGCTGTGCATTCTAGAAGGCCAGAGAAATGTCTGTTCCTTTGTCCCAGAATAAACACAGTATATGCACAGTAAAGTGCAAAAAGAGATGTCCTGTATGGGGGAAAGTTTCTCTTGTAAAATACATTTCCTAAAATATGAAATAAACACAAGACAGCAAACTAGGGAAATACAAAATAAACAAACTACAAGGCTATTGCCTGCCTGAGTCAGATAGACACATGGGCTATTCTATTCCATTTAAGCTCTTATGGTGTGACACTAATCAAGTTACCAGAATGCCTACCATAATACTTCTTTTTTCCTAGGTCTTTCAAGTTAGATCTGAAAGTGCAATTGAAGCAAAGACCTACTCTGAAAACCTAAGTGAAATTCCCAACTGGACCAGCCCATCTTGTCACAAGGGACTGATTCAGACTATTAAGTACTGAAGAGAAATACCTAACATGACTTGCTTTATATGACCTATTCCAGTCAACCAGGTTTGAACTCCTAATACATTGAATTCTGCAAAAAAGCTTATGCATAGCCAAACAGAACAACAAACAAACAAAAACAACCGACCACCCAAAATTAGAAAATCACTAAGACTTTTCTCTAGATAGTTTACAAGCACACAATACATTTCTAATGAACCCCTCCTAGTTTGTAGAGGCAAATAAAACTTGGAGCAAGGGTGAATTTAAGTACTATTTTTTTACTGTCTGAGCTGAACATGTTGCCTGGCTGTTATCTTCAAAGGTTGCCTCCTAGTTTATGAATAATAAGTCCTTAAAGCAATGTTGTCAACATAAGAAGGAAAGGAAACCCTGCTACCCACAATTTGATTTTTAAAGAAGACACTTTAAGAAAGAGCAGAGATTTTTAAAAGGAAATCACAAGACGTAATCAACAAGCCCTGGTTCCAAAAACAATTAGAAGTTGGAAATTTTTAGCCCAATTACTGAAACTATATAAATCCATCCCAATTAGAGGTGACCGTATACTGGAACACTGAATTCAGACACTCTCAAGTTTCAGGGGTGTTCAAAGCATGGACCGCATGTCAAATGTGCAGCTCTGTAACAGTAATATGAGGATTTCAAACCCTGTAGCTAAATCAGCTCTTGTTAGCTTTCTATTTCTTTTTGTCCTGGTGTTTGGTTTGAACTCTGTATTACTTATTAACACATGCAATATTTGCATTGCCTATTAATGCATAGCTCTGGGCAATAATCATCATCTGTAATTATTTTTTCAACTGTAAAAACTGTTAAAGAAAAGGAAGTCTTGAAGTCAATAAATCTACCTTTTTATTTTCTAGTCTACATGGTAGTAAAGATTACAATCTTTAAAAAACATACATGTAATTAGAATTGAGAGCCAATAGTTGTTAAAAAATATTTTACATTTCTTTGTGCTGTCCTGAAATCCATAGCTTCTAAGAAACATATGCAGTTTGAAAAAAAAAATAGGTTCTGGGGGTTTTTCACACAATTTCTGAAACAAGCATTTAAATTCTCATTCACATCAGTAGGTGTTTACTCTCAATTAGCTTAGATACTCTGTTTTCTGTAACACCTAGGAAGCCACCATTTCTAGTAAACAACATTATCCAACTCTAAATTTCTGGTACTGTTTCTTCAGTGGCATCGTTCCTGGCACAGAATGATGAAGTCCTTCTCTCCAGAAAGAGTTTCAGAGGAGACATGCCCATAAAGAATGAAAAGGAATCATTCAAACAGATTTAATATTGTGTGAAAACCTGAACATAATGTGCAGTGTTTTACATTTCATACCATTAAAAAAAAGGAATTCAAATTTTAAAGTGAATTTCAGACTCATGAAAGCTGCTGCAAAGGCAGTAGTGGAAAAGTCTTTATTCAGAAAATATGTAGAGCATAAGCTACAGTAGTTCCTGATTCTTCATTCTGCCTTTCCTCTAACCTGGTGAGATTCTAACTCTATAGGTGTGAGAAGATAGTTTAATATCTATGACTATCCAGCCTTTGACCATACTGATCTCTAAATCCATGTATCACTGGCCAACAGATTAGTGAAAAGCTTATCACATATATTAGAATGAGTGTGTCTTTAAAGGGAACAGAGTAGCAGGTAGCCTATCTTCCTCTTCTTCTTTGAATGGCTGATGTAGATGTAGAACAACTATAATTTTAAATTGAAATTGTTAAGCCAGTTAATTATAGGAGAAGTGGAGTGTATCGCTGTGTAGCCTATTAACATTAAGTTCAACATTTTACAAGGGGAGTTTACAAGGGGAGTTACAAGCCTAATTCCGGTAGGCTTCTCCTCAAAGCCTAGCCATAATTACTATGTCTGTAGATACAGATAAAACATGCTTAACACATGAGTTCTTCACACGAGTTCTTCACTTTTTTTTTTCTTGGAACTGGAATAGATGAACCACCTTCCTCTGTCTTTTTGATTTGCAGACATGTTGGTCCAACAATAAAATATATACTGAACTTACCTGTGATACCTTTCCAAGCTGCTGATGATCACATGATGGTTCAAGTAGTTCCAGAAGAGATCCCTCTTGTCCTGCTTAGTGACTGCTACCATGAGTTTAGCTGGCACCGGATGATGGCATAGCTAGTCCAAACCGGAGGCTTTCTTTGGAATGGTGTCAGTCAGATTCCACACTTCTTTGCTAATATGTGTGGGTTTTATTTTAGATACTCCTCCAGGCTCCACCCAATGCATAGGGTGGGCGGGGGGAAACGACACAAAAGAAAAATGAATGAGCAACATCTCGTGGCTCTTGATGTTTTATTCTCATCAAATAGCCTGTTCACACTGATTTCTATTACATGGTCCAACAACTTGTGGCAGACCTTAAATTAACCTTGAGATTGGGATGATAGAGGGAACAATTAATCTTGCATGGGCAGCTAAAACAGGGCAGGCAAGGAGGTTGCATACACCAGACAGAATCAGAAACAATTGACTTATTAAACAATGCAATTTCACTATTGTCTGCTAGTAAAATATATATGTATTATACAAGCCTATTTAATAACACTTCACTCATCTCTTCTACAGTACATTAGACAAATATTAGCCAAGTCAGACTGTCCAGGAGACCCTGAAAGGTGCTAATTGACAGATAACCCCACAGAGTCTGGAGCAGTAAATCTTAGGGTCAAAAAGGATAACATGTAGTCTATCACTACAATGAAATTAAGTTTAAAATTACATTAAGTGCTTGTGTTAGGTTCATCAGGTGAATCCCCAATGGCTTGTCAAGTACTGAATAAAGCATTATGAAACCATACCATAACCTCTTTGTTAGCCTTAAATTACAGTAGGTGTAGACATGAATGTTGGCAATGGTAAAAGTTTGCTACTGTTTGCTGCCCTCAGTGCTTAAACACCATGGAGAGACAATAAAAGAAAAATGAATGGCACAATATTTGTAGTTCTGTCTTCATTGCCCCAGTTCCTGAGTTTAAGCTGTTGATATCTTATATTTTTATTCTGTTGGCTGCTATGTGATTATGAAGGAGCCATTTAATAAGGTCTGTCAATTTATGTTTGAAACATTAAGCTATACAAATGGGAAGCAAAATGCTTTTCCTTTTTTTTTTCTTTTTTTTAATAATGGCTCAATTCGGTTTAATGTCAGCCACTTCTTAAAGGCAGAGTATGAATACACAGAAACTCCCTTCTAAATACTGGCACTTATTTTGTTATACACATAACAGATAACCATAGCCACAATCATTATTCTTTAGATAATGTTAAAACTTTCCACTTTAATACTGTCCCAAAGGTAGAGAGGACAGTGGATATTATTGGCCTATGGGTAGAAAAGCTTGATTGTTGCTTTAAAAAAGGCAGTAGAGAAATAATGAACTCTTGCCTTTTTCTATCTTATTATCCACTTAGGACTTTATGAGAATAAACAGATTTGCAACATGCAAGAAACAAAACAAAAACACCCCTGCAATTTGCAAAAAGAAAGTGTTCCTAAAAGTAGGTTAAATATGTTTTTTACTGGTAAAAACATTTTCAAGTAAATGTAGTGTTTGTAAACCACACCAGATCAACAGCATTGGAGGGGGACGTCCACTGTTTATCATGGGGCATGTGTAACATGGATAGTAGCAGTAGGAGCTTCTCCAGCTCATCTCTGCAAATGTACCTCAGCTCTGGCCAGGAGGGACCATCTGTGGCAGTGGGCCGACAGTCTCCTCAAGTGTCCTCCTACACAGAATGTTGTAAGTGTTGCAAGGGAAATTTTAGCTCATAGTCCAAATGTTAAAGATTATGAGCAAATTTCCTACATAGTGCGAGAACAGGCACAAGCACATTTAAATCAGTGCAGTTCCACCATCTTACACCAGGACTAATTTCAGCCCTTTTAGTTTTAAAAACTACAGACCTGATTCTACAGCTGCTTTGCACACAGAACTCCCATTGAATCCAAACTGTAGAGCACATGCAGAATCAAGTCCAAAACCTGCTTTCATTCTTTTGTAATGTGGCATAGAACCACAGTGGCTATAATTTTCAAAGCTACTAATATACCTAGGGCCTAACTGCCTCATAAGTGCCCAATCCAGAGCCTAAATTTCAGTTGGAATGTGCCTGCCTAGGTATAGTAGACTTGGCCAATGGCTTAGGGGCCCAACTAAGATTTTCAAATTAGACACGAGGACATCTGGAAGTGAAGCTGTAGGTGACTGAAAAGGTATCTTCTCCCATAGGTGCTGCCAAACCTGGAGTGTAACTTGATTTGGGGAGAAATTGAGTGTATCCACAGTGAAAAATCCAAAGAATTTGGGGAATGGCAAATGGTTAAAATTATCTTCAAGCACATACCAACTTGGCAAGATTTTAGCACCAGCTGACCCTCTCTTCCTACCAGCCCACTTTCGTTTGCTGTAGAGGTAAGTCAGAAGCCACACAGTATTATGATTGCAATTGCGATGGCTGGGAGGTTCCTGCACACATGCCCTTTGGATATTTCATATCTATGTGAATGGATACAATTCCTTTGGACGTACATACATACCAGACATGAGGACACAGAAGTTAAGCCAGAGATTTGTACAGGATAGTTGTCTACTTTTTCTGTAAATAACTGCTAGAAAAAGCTGGGATCCAAAGGGCTAGACACATATCTAAGAAAATAAACAACCACTTAGTTAAAATAGTAACATAAGTAGTTTTCAAAATTCCATCTATTTTATTTTTCTGTATATATACAGATCTACAAATTTTTCATAATTCAAAACATATAAACTATTCCTATTATAGCAAAGTTTATTTGTTCTTATTACTATATTGTAGAGCTAACCTCTTGCCAGGCACTTTAAATATGAGATAACATTTTCAAAATCACCTAAGTGACTTAAGAACCTAAGGCTTGCTATAAACTACCAACTTATGTTGGTATAATTGCGTTGCTAGGAGTGTGGAAAATCCACATCCCTGAGTGATGTAGTTATACAGACCTAACCCCATCCACACCATGATAAAATAGACAAATGAAATGTTCCTGGCCATAGGCCTGCTCCCATTTGAAATTGATAAGGAGTTTTGCTATGGATTTCAATGGGAATTGGGTGAGAGCATTGTGTTCAAAATTACTTTTATGTACCTCAAAATAAGATGTGATGATTATTCAAGATGTCCTATTTTGACAATTATTCTCTTTCATAATGCAGGAGCAACTGCATTACACCTGTTCCCTGGTCTAAACCTATATTTTATGCAAGGTAATAACTTTTAAGTAGAGTACAGATTGTTAAAATACCTCTTATTATAGACAGCATATTCAATATGGCACAGAAATATTTGTCTACTAAAGTCATTTTTGTAATGGACTATATTGACTTTGTTGTTTTTAAACTAAATACCAACCATAAGGTAGGAGTGGGCTGGAACAGATGGAGAGTTCATTTCTCAACATGTATTGGAATCAAAATGCATTCTTTAAAATTCATATACAAATGTGGATTGGGTAAGTTATAAATGAAAACTTTGCACAATTATAGAGATGCATCTGATATAGCAAAAACTCTGATCGTGTAACACAGAAAATAAAGGAATAACTCCTGTACAACGGTGTTAGAACTGATTATTGTTTCTAGATGCCACCTTAAAAAATGAAAGGTAATTTGTTTTAAAAAAGGAAGTTCATGGTGGATCAGTTTCATAGCCAGCAATAATGATGAATTCAAGTTAGTATCATACAGTGTGAGCATTTCTACTATGTACTGTTACCATTATTTCTAGTACAGTTATGGAGCGATTATGGTTAATCACTTTGTGTTGTATATTGAACTTGTCAGAACTTGATATCAATTTACTTTATCAGTGAAGCTAGCATATTAAATCTATCCAGTGTCTGAATATCAAGCTACTGATAGGATAGAGGGGGCTTGCATGAGTCCCTTGTTAACAAAGCCAGCTTTGAGGGCCATGAAGGAGAACCTCAGCTTTCACATAAACAGCTTTTTTCTTGTGAACTGAACTTTGGGAACATTTAACTCATTTACCATGAGTTATTAAATTTAACTCATTTAAATGAGGAACATTTACCTCATTTAAATGAGTTAAATTTAAATTTAAACATTTAAATTTAACTCATTTAAACAGATGGGTAGAATTGAAAGATACAAACATCTAGACTTAGTTTCTGAAGCAGGAGGCTGGGAGAGGGGTGAGGAGGGGGAACCTAAAGATCTCACACTCACATAAAACAGTTGCATTTAAAATTAATCTCTTAAATTTGGGTATTTCCCAAAAAATGATCTAACAAACTTTCTCCAAATTCCATAGACCAGTCCAGTGCATAGTGTTGTCCTTGCTGAATAATGTAGGAATTGGTCACTTGGGTCAAGAAATGGGATGGAATTGTTTTGAAGGCTCATGCAAAATGCTGCAGTGCTCGTGAACATTTTCAACATGCTCTAAAGCTGGGACTGAGCTATCTGTGGCTCATGCTGGCAGCTGCTAAGCTATGTGCCTTCCCACTATTGCCACAGCAGTTGGCGTGTACCATGTGTTCTTTGCAACCACCAACCTTACCCCGCTGGCCCTTACCCACCAGGACTCAAGGATGAGGAGCAGAGGAGCAAAAGCTAAGCTGCTACAGCATGGAGTGTGGGTCCTGCACACTCAACAACTCACCTCTCTCCCTGCCAGGCCAGCTCCAAAGCCAGTACTGGCACATCTGAAGAACCAGAGGGGATCCAGACCACCACTAGAGGCGCCCCACTCAACCTGAGCAACCATTCTATACATGAAGCCACAGCACGACCCATTTATATCCATTGCTGCTGCTGCGAGAGACAGCTGCCAGGTAAGAAGCCAAATAAACAAGCCTCTATGAGGACAGTGGGGTGGAGTAAAGGACTGAAGAAGGAAAAAGAGAATGGAATTGCTGAACATTTTGCTAGGGATAGACAGAAGACTATGGAATTGATCTTGAGGGGTTGGTGTGTATGTAAATTATGGATTGGCCTCCTCTGAAGTTGAGGTAAGGAGGCAGAGAAGTATTTAACCCAAGGAGCAGCATATTTATCACAGACTGAGGAGTTTTTGGCATCACGTCCCTGTACTGAGCGCCATTCGTTGATTTTCTATTAAATCTAAGAGGAGAATGAATTAAGAGTACAGTTGTTAGTAAGGTTAAAGAAATAACACTTTGCATGCTTATCCAACCATTGGAAACAACAATT